TGCTGTAAAGGATTACAAAGATGTCTTTCCCTTCAGAAACATTAATTACTTCCCACCAGTAATAAAACCAGTAAAACAGTAAAAACCAATGTGCGTCAAAGCTCAGATATGGCAAACAAGAACACTGATAGATGATTATTATGAAATAAAAATGAACTATATTTAGTAACAAACATAGCCAATGTTCACTTTTCTTATTCCTTGTTTATGACAGCCCAAAAAGAGTTCAAAGGTAAAAGGCTGCATTTAACTACAGTAAGGTGCATAGTCACACAGGGCTCCATTATTTAACCATGATAAGCTGCATATGACAAAGGGGTAATCGTGCTGCCAGAAGACATACATTAAAGTAGGAGAAATCGCCTTTTACAGCTCTTCATGCACCTCAGCTGAATGCTGTTCCTCCTGCATATTTTCCAATTCTGTTCCTTACTAGATTTATATAGATTTTGCTGTCTCCTGTAAATTTGGTTCATCAGCTCTATTATTATACACATCCATCAACATATATCTCTTCTAATTAGCTAAATTAACCCAATTCAAACAAACCTGCAGAAAATCTAAATCAAAGCTACATACATACATACAGATTCACCACCATCAGAGGGAGCGGATGCTACTTTTGACTTCTCTTCAGGTGGTTCAAAACTGGTTCAGGTCACACGGTCTGAACACGTTCCATGGTCGCAGAGGCACTGGTGCACAAATCCGAAAGGGGCTGGCCTGCTGTACCATGTGCTTGCCCATAAAGCCAGACATCTCCTACCTAGTCTTACGGTATTGTTGCAACCAGTTCTTCTGCACTGCCAATTTACTTAAAAGATACCAAGCTGTCATACTGAAAATAGAAAAATTTGCATTATTATTAGTAATGAAATAGAGGCTTGATAGCAAGCCTTCTCTTGCAAGTGAACAGAAGCTTATTTGAAAGAATTAGTCAGGTTATTCACTCCTTCCATTTTATTTTATTTTTCCAGCAGAGTCTTACCAGACAAGGACGAGGCACATTAATACAATTCTGTGCTATATCACCACCGAAAGGACACTGAAGTTTCAGGATGTAGCGAGAAATATATTGTAGACTCACCGTTTCTCTGCAACTGGCATTCACTTCATCTGCTGTCAGCTGTCTAAATGCTGGGTTCTTATGACACTATTGTCACGGGAGAGGGATAGGACCAGAGGAACCTACTTTACAATGAATTATCTTCTGCAGATGCTTCTCTCTTTCCATGGCTACAGAAGGAGCTAGATGGTTCATTCAGCCAACCTAACTTTTGGCAGAGCAGATGAATCCCACCTTAGTCCCATCTGATTGCTATTCCAGCTGAGTGTTGTACCTTTTGGGGACAAAATGTTGAAATATTCTTCCAGTTATTCAGGGTGCTCTCCCACAGCATCCCTCTTCCTAGCAGCCTGGGCTGGATGGTGCTTTCTTCCATATTCAAGGTATCAGCCTTCCTCTTCTGAGAGGCATTCAGCTCTGTGTCCTTCACAGTCCCCAGCGGCAATTAGTAACGAAGGGGACTGATCTCACTGTGGTCAAGTCCAGTCCCCTGCCCATGCAAAGAGCCCCACTGTACCAACTTTTCCAGAGGTTTTCCTTCCCGCCAACACGCGCACGCACCCACATGCACACACTTTCACCAGTTCACCTGTGTTTGCAGCAGGATGAAAAATTCAACTGAGGAAAACCTTAAAACGAAACTGTGGTTTGCTTAATGCTATTGAAATAAATATATCAGCATGGCACCTATATGTCAGCTGAGCAAACGTTTAGCATTACCAATAGAACAAGTCCATTTCCTCTTTGCTTTGCATTTTAGTTTTTCTCTTTGGTCAACAAACATCGCTGAAAGCTCAACAGAACTATAACATTTCTTAGGTTATAGATTTCTAATTATAGTTAAAACAATCTAAAAGTAGTATATGCTTCTCTTCACATAGAAAGCTTTAGACAATAAACAAGCTGAGACGTACTAATATTCATAGTTTTATTGTATCCTTTTATAATACTGACTAGAACGCCAGATTTAATAATATTGGATGCAGGTATAAAAATAATCCAATCCTTAAAAATTATATTTTGCTACTACAGTACTGTGTAATTAGTGGAGACTGAAAATATGATACAACTTTAAATAATACTGGTTTGGAACAAGTCCTTAAAAACCCAGCAACTTGGAAGCTAACATTCAGAGATACGGGAAGGAAAACCTGGACAATGTCAAGGACATAAAGCAGGTCCACTTTTCAGGTTATTCAGGTTAATAACAGAAGCACAAAAAATGCTGAAACTTTACCATTTGAAATAGACTTCACTAAAGGTGAGCTTTACTACTGCAATTCTGAAAGCTGCTCAAGGAAACCATTATGATTTTACACAGAAGATTTTGCTTTCTGTTACGAAAAAGCCCTGCAGAATTTTAACAGGGCTTAAAACAAATGACTGAGTTTATCCGAATTTCCTTAAAAAAGGAAACAACGAGTATTTATTCTGTAATTTTTTTCCTTAAAGTAAACCATCCCACCAGATTTTAAAACAAGCGTTTTGTATCAAGCTAATTCTATGGCACCGTCCAAGGAAAAGTGACACTTCTTGCTGTACTCCACAGGGCCTTTCTGTTTCAGGCCATAGCATTTTGCAGATTTGCGGGCCGCTTGCTGCAGTAATGATTCATGCAAGACTCCCATCGCTTAGCATTTACATCTTACTTTTGAAGAACGTTAGGGCACCCACTCTAGGTTTTCCCTCAACAGGGATGTTACCCACATGGAACGAAAGCCACACACTGAGCAGGTCCCATCCCACATCTTACAGTACAAAAGTCGTAGTATTACATTGACTTTAGACATCTAGTTCTGGAAAATAATTAAGTATATTCTTTCCTTTGGTCAACTGATTCTCTTACCCCTTAATGGATTTCTGTCCTGCTTTTCAGCTTCAGCTTCAGGGAAATGAAGAATTAAATACACACTGCAAGACTCCCGAAATCCTACAGGCACACAGTGCATACCCCTTTCCACGCGTGGAGATCTTGTTTCACTTCCGAAGGCACAGGCAAGTGTGAATCAGCAGCTCCTGCATTCAGAGAACTCTCCTCGGAGTATTTCTCTGAATACCAAAAGCATCTCTATTTCCCTAGAAGATCTTACACTATAGGAAACAGGTCGGTTGATTAGTAAAGGATTATCCGTCCAAAACAATTTTACAGAATTCGCATCCATTCTCTTCTCAGGAAAATGTTTCAGATCTTGAATAAAAACCTCTTTTTTCAATCTCACATAACGTAGGTTTTGTTACACAGAAAAGGTGTTTGTTTCACATACAGTGAAAAGTATACTTCTGAAAAATAAATACATTAAAAGGCAGCATCAACACCACAGAAAGGGGCAGAACAGAGAGCCAAAGCAATGCATGTTGTACACCCAAGTCACCCTGAAGGTGCAATGATTCAGGCCTAGGAAAAACTCTGTTACAATCCACAGGAGCGTTATCCCGGTCAGTATAATGGATGCTGGATTAGGTCCTTTCCGTGTAAAGATGAAAAAACAACAGGGAGCATAGGAAGAACGTTTAAGTAAAATGCATCCGTTCTTGTTTAATCTAAGGAAGAAAACTGAAGATTAAACTTTGATATGAGGGAATGAGAAGTCCAGCTGGATTTGGCACGGATATTGCCATTGACCAGAATCAGAGACGAGTCCTGGCGAAGTACTTCACGCGTCTACAGCGATGTCCAAACCCACTTTACTGGTCTGTAAGGCCCCTAGAGGACAGGCTTTACAAGTCACTGGGACAAACAGTTTCACAGTGACAAACGCTTCTCACTAAATGCAATTTATTGCTGTTTCCTAAAGGTCTTTTCCTATTGCAAATCACTTTTAGAGGGCTGGCCACAGGGAGAGCATCAGTAGACGACTGCGATGCCAGGACTGTATGGGAAAGGCTGCTGCAGCAAAGGGACTTCCTGCTGCCATGTTACTTAACGTGCTAAACCTGGAGGCAAAAGGGCATCGAAACACCCCTGTCCCGTGCATTCCTGATGTAGCCAAATTTAGTGCTTTGAGGTTTCAATGGCATGCAAAAGCAGCGGGATTTTTCCCAGCGCCGCATGGGAGGGGTGGCCGGGCATGACAGGCAGGTGGGACGGCCGCTCGTACTAGCCTGCCTTTGGAACGATGCCCCTAATCTGGGGCTGAGGGCCTTTTGCCAACACAGCCGGCAGAGCACTGCACCTACTCCTGGCAAGTAACAGAATTAGCATTTTTCCAAAGTTAATCAGAGAGGCTCCCACACAGCTGCCCGTGGGCCCTCGCTGACTGCCTCCCTAGCTTTGCACACGAGCCAGGAGCGAGAACAGACTTCTGTTAGGTGTTGGGGTGGTTTTTCTTCCGTTGCCTCTAACTGGCGAGCCACTTGCAGCCTCCTAGCAAGACACATGCATCTTCTACCTCATCCTCTTGGCTTGGATAACGGAGAGTGCTTCCCTCAGCAAAAGCATCCCCGGTGGTCAAAACTTGCATTCTAGGGTAGCTAAAATTAACCTAAATCCACTGAGAAATCAGGCTACCTTTATTGAGGCGTCCTAAGGAGTAAAGTACGTAACACAGAGGCATCTGCATATGAAAGTGGGGCTTGAGGGAGGGACAGGCCACGAGACCCTTCTGCCCTGGGAGAGGAGTAACGAGCCCCGCACCTCTGCCAGAGGGTGCTTCGGCTGGCGGTGGTGGCTAGCTAGAAACGGGGCCGTCACGGGCAGAAGCAGACAAACAGCATCCTGGTGACAGTTTTACTAGCTGCGAGCTGCACAGAAACAGGTTCCAGCCCTGCCTGGCTGGGAGAGCCGCCTTGCTGGTGAGCCGCGGCGTTACTTAACTGCGGTAAATGAACTGCCACAAATTGTAGGAAAATGCCCTGCACTGGGGCGGCAGTGGAGCCGAGGGCCGGCGGGGTCTGGGCGAGGCCGGCAGCGCTGCCGCCCGGGAAACGGCGGGAAACGGCTGGGCTGGCCGAGCGCTGCGCTCACTAAGTGCTCGCTGCCGAGCGCCAGCTCCGCAAAGACTTCCTGAAACTCACTGCACGGGAAAGCAGCCCTGTTAAAGCCGGTGCTGGCTGCTGCTTAAATCTTCTCCTCCCAGCTCAACGGGGACTCCTAGGACACCCGGAGAAGATGCTGCCAGGTCAGGAGAGACCCCTCTCCTCCTGCCTGTGGACTACACAACTGCTCCATGACTCCTTTGTCACCAAAACTAAAAGGAAGGTGAGGTTGCAAAGGACAAATGCACACAGTCAATTTTCCAGTGTTTACCTCCTCTGACAGGGATAACATTTCAGTGCTATAAAGCTCAGGTATCTCTTTTGGAAAAGGCCAAGTTTTGCACTCCTCACTCAGAAAATCCTGCTGGGTTTATTGAGACCCTTTCACTCCAGTTACAGCACTAAGGAGAATTAAGGTTATTAAGGTTAACGTTTTTAAGAAATGAAAATGAACTACTTGCAAACTTCTGTGCAATGTGAATTAGAAATAATTCTATCACGTTTTCTACTCAAAGTTCTTGCAATTCGCCGTGAGACATATCGGCCAGGAGTTTGGTTAATAGAACCCAAACGTTACTCGTTCTATAGAAATACTGAGTTGATAGTTCAACGTCTGTCCTTCGCAGTACCCACTTCGCACATACAGGCACACTTCCCCATACACAATCTTTGAACTAACCAAGCAATTAAACACATTTGCCAATAAGCACATGCCTAAACATTTCACTGCCTGATGAAATGCAGGCACATGGTTAAATCCTACTGTCATTGCTGGGACATGCTCACTTTTTGCTAAGCTTCTCTAAATGTACAGGAATAGATCCCAGTGCTTGTCTAAGTGCTTTGGATTCAGAGTCAGCAGCAAGTCCCAGCTTCCCCCTTTCACACATAACAGAGACAAAACCCTCCTCTGTGCTGTGGGAAAGGTGGCCCTTTCCAACCCAGGCACTCAGCAAAAACAGAGCTGGTGCCATGCAAAAGAAGCAACTCACCCTCAGAGAGACTGTGAACCTCGCCAATGTCCTCACTGGGAGCCCCCAGAGCACGGTAGGGCCAAGCCCTTAGTTCACATCATCCAATGGACCCTGTATAATTAGGGTATTGGCTACTAATGAATTGGAGGAGAACATCATTTACTAGGTGGAAACACTGAGAAGAGTGGCAGAGGGCAGTTACTTTTTGTGCTTTACCTGCTAAGCTATTTCGCACACTGTAACTAGAGTTTTCCATTAAATAGAGCCCCTTAGGCAGCTGTACTTCCCACGAGAAGCTAATCACTTCCTCCTCAGTCTGAGACAAGCCGTGTGCTACCTGTGAGTCCAACTGCGGATCAGGCAGATGTGAAGTCGGCTGCATCGTTGCCATAATATCACGTAACAAGAGTGAAGCACACTGCCCCTGGACATCCACAAAGTTTCTCTGCAGGACCACACAGCCGTTTCTACACAGCAGGTAACGGGTGAGGCTTGAAGTGACACTGCGCGTGTATGCTACAGATGGGGCACCAAACTGTGTCTTCCCAGGCACGTTTGCGGTGCTTCTGCCACCTTGCAAGCTGGAGAACACAGAAGCAGATGTGAGCAGGGACCAGAAACCCCTTAGTCCATGCAGCTGATGAACGGCTTGTACTCGCTTGTCCTCCTCTAGGTAGTTCTCACTTTGGGTAGGGAACACAACAGCCTTCGGAGTGCTGGGAAAGGATCTGGAGGCTCCCAGCGCCTGCAGGACACGAGTACTGTGACTGCTCCCTGACCGAGGGCACCCCCTCACCGCAGGGGGACTGCTGCAGGGGAGCAGCTGTGCAGCACTTCGCCATTCACCCTGCTGCTCTCACTTGGGGGTAGGCACTTTGGGGGGCACGTCCCATGGTCCTCAACGCTCCCATCAGCTGAGCTACCTTATGAACTCGTCGTTGGCACTTTGTCTCTCTGAGCACTGAGGGGGAGAAGGGAGTACCGGGAAGTACACTCCTTTCGCTGAAGTTAGCTTATGTCACGTTACAGAGATGGCAGGTTAATAGCTAAGGAAATAACACTATTATTTGCTGTCCTCATGCAAGCAGCCAGCTTGAATGAAAAGAACAACAATATTTAAAGTAAGGATTAGTGCATTTGGACAGGTCTTGGATGATTCAGTTTATCTTTGCCTTTAAGGTAAGTGTAAAAATACTTCATAATAAACATCTCTTTCAACGCCCAGCTCAGGGAGGAATAAAGTCAATAAGCTTTATATCTGCTCTTTGGTGAGGCATATACTGACTTATATTCTGCAGTTTATGCCAAGCCGATTAATGTAAATTAACACAGCTATGTGAGGAAACCTGCCCAATCCGAATCAATCAAAACTAGGATGGATGAAGGCAAAACAATTTGAAATGTGTGATCTTTGCTCTGCCAGGATTCAAAGCATCCCGTTTTTCTCTTGTCAAATGCAACCGACTGCGGCGAGCCGCATTTGCAGATGTACTGAGTCCTCCTCCACGGCTCCTACTGAAGTCAGGGTGGGCTGTGAAGGCCTGAAAGCTGTGTCCCACCTGCGGTGTCCAGCATTCACGTTCTGCCTGCCCAACAAGGGCTACAGCATTATCACTCTCACTCAAATTCCATGCAAGGAGCATGGTGAATTCCCAGCTCATATTTTTCTTCCTTGTAGTAAATTTTCCTGTTAGCAACTATTGTAAGTTATATTACTGTTTTACAGGCATGTAAAACCCTGCAGGGAAGCAGAGCCCCTTAAAATCCTACACGGAAGTGCTATGATGACCTATAGAGGTATCACTTCTGAACAATGCTGCGTGACAAAAGGATGACTCACCGAGACTTTTCCCTGCATACAGGAGTAGTGCACGGGATCAGCTACATCTCTTTTTCAGTTTGCATTGCAGTGGTATGACTAACTTTTCTGTTGGAGATAACCAACCCACCAATTCAGCCAACATTGCCAGGCTTCAGTAAGGACTGAGCCTTTTGGAGAACTTCTACCAGCAAGAACGTAAGGGCTAGAGGACAAGCCAGCTCCCCTCCCGTGCAGGAAGCAGAAGGCAACGTGGCAGGAGAAATGGTTGCTGACACACTTCTGCTACCAAAAGCAGTCACACGGTGACTCTTTGCACGAAGGCTGACTAAGAAGACAAGCACAGTCATCGGCCTGACAGTGAACAAGATCTGTAAACAACACACTCCCTAGTGGTATTCGATTCAGAGTGCTGGGCACCGCTCGTCTGCCTGCGCTCATCTATGCTTGCCCCGTAGCGTGGAGTGAAGAAGCAGCACGGTGCGAAAACAGGGCACACGTTAGCTTCCACCTGCGTCTTTCACTGGTCTGCACCTTGAACCGTTCCCTCCTCCATCTTCTCTTGGCTGCTCAACAAGCCTAACAGTTTCTCAGGGCAGCAATGCCCTGCATTGAGTTCAAAGTCCTTCCTGTTGTTAGATGGGAAGAGCAAGACTGATGTGGGCTGAACTGCCAGGAGACAGCGGGCAAGCACCTGGTGCTCAAGGGCCACAAAACTGTGTCAATCTTCCACTCCCTCTCTGTCTCGCTAAAAATAGTCTCTTCTTCTGGTTTCGTCGCTAATGAAGGATGGATTGTACTGTCCAGGGTAGATGCATGAATGTCGAGATCCAGGCAAACCAGTGTAGGGAGGATAAAGTCCATTTCTTTCCAGTTCAGGATTTCTCAGTCCAGTTGGCTGTACAGCAAAATAATTACATAAACAGGGTCTTAGTCTCACGCTTTCAAGCACGGTCTTTCCACCTTTCCTAGCAGCCATTTCAGTAGGCAGAAAGAACAACATGATCACTAATGGTCTCTACAATCTTGAATGATTTCTACTGTGGGAGTTATGCATTGCCTAGAGGGGATTATTCTGATCTAATCTAGCTTTAACATACTGGCTATCAGCAGATTTGAATTTTACCTGAGTCTATGTACAGTCTGAATGCATGGTTAATTTTTAATCCCATGAGAGCTGTGCTGATGAGCTCAAGCACTGAAATAACTCTCACAAGAAGGACATTGTCCAAGAGTTATCCTTAAAGGAAACTCTTCCATAAAATCAAAGTTTCCCGCTTTGAATATTATTTGGAAGCACTTCTCTCTCCACTAACCATAGGTACCCACCCTCCCAACACAGGAACCTGAATTACACGTCAAAAACAAGGTGGTCTGACTCTCCATTTTTTCCCTTCTTTTACTCAAGCAAATCTCCTGGGGACACCTGACTGAGGAACTTTGCTGCCTAAGGCCAAGACTGTACAATCCTTTCACCCAGTAAGAAGCATTAAGCCACCTGGTTTGATCTGTTACAGAGCAGATCCAATGCAAAGCCCTCATCATCTACTCCTTGCTAAAAAGCTCCCCCTTCTAGCTGTCAGCATAGTAACAGTCTTCAGAAAAGTTTAGGAAACACATTGTCATTTCCAAATCTCTTACTGAAAGCAGCAAGGAGGATTATTTCCCTTCATATTGTGTAACCCAGTAAACTTGCTTTGCGGAAACTTGAAATACAAATCAGGAAAAAAAAAAAAAGTATCGTTCTGCTCTAGAAAGCAGGATTCCAGAGTGGGTGATATGGGTGAAATCCTGAAGCCTTCACTCACATGAGCAACCCCCCACACCTTGGGGACACCCAGTGTGTTGATACAGCTTAGTGATGGGTGATATATGAACATCACAGCTCTGGATATAGACATTAGCAACTGGTACTAACCATGCAGGTATTACAGTGTCCATGATGCCAGGTCTTGTGCGCCTTTCTCTGCCCTACATAGCCCATTATTCCTCCATTATTCCTTCCCCGCCACTTGTTCCCCCAGAGCTGGAGGGATCCTCCTTACATGGCCTTTCCACTACAGGAAGGGGTCTGTCCCCTGGAAAGGAGAGGAATCGAAAAAGACAGGGGTGCTCAGTAAGCAGCATCTTCCCATTTGGGGTGAAGCCCCCCAGGCAAAAGTCTCAACCTTCCAGCATCAGTGAGGGAGGAAAGGAGAGAACTACCCATGGGGACCCCTAAAAGAGTGTCCAAAACCCTTAACTCTCCCTCTGTACTCCAGGATTGGGCTTTCTAGGTATCTACCAAAATGTTCCTACACACTTCCCTAGCACCCTTCCTAATCATAACTCTTCATGATATTCACCACCTATGTAATAACTAACATATTGTATCCAGCATCCACATAACTCCTAACGCCTTGCTCTCTATCAAAGCCAATTGCTTTGCTCTTTTCTTTTGCACAAGATAGATCTGTGCTTCCAATAATAAAAATGTATCTTTGCTACATCAGGCACAAAGGAACAACAGTTAACCTAAGAATAGGTACCGAATAATATACATCTGTCATCTGCAACAGGTTCTTAGTGCTTCCATTCTCCTGCATCTCGATGGTCTCTCTGCCCCACTCCTGCGCTCTCGGGTTCTTTGGATACTCAGCATATGGTGACATCTGGAAATCCCCACTCTTGAAAATGAGTTTACTTATGTCATTTTTATTCTTCCTGTTTAGAAAAGAATGAAGGAAATTAAGCAGGTACAACTTCTCCTTTTATCCTATATGCATTTGTGATATGACCGCAGAAGATTTACCATGTGTTGTAAACCCTGACTGGGAACAGGAGTCTCAGGATAACTCAGGTTGAAAGAGACGTCAGGAGGGTTTTAGTCCAACCTCGGGCTCCAAGCAAGGTAAGATATGAGGCAAGACCAGGTTTCTCAGTGCTTTTTATCTGGTTGGGATTTGAAAACTCCAAGGATGGAGATGGCACAAATACTTTGAGCAAGCTGTTCCACTGCCTTACTGTCTTCTTGACAAAAGTTTTTCCTTACATTCAGTCTGCACCTCTCCTGTTTCAACACATGCCTGTTGTCTCTCGCTCATCCATCATATACTGTAAAAAGCCTGGCTCCATCTTCTTGAAGACCTCCCTGTATGTATCAGGTTTCTCCTGAAGCCTTCTCTTCTCCAGGTTCAACAAGCCTCACCGATCTTTCTGATGACCCTTCACTGAACTCGCTCCAATTTATGAATGTCTTTTCTGTACTGGAGGAGGCCCAAAACTGGACACAGTATTCTAGATGCAGACTCACATGGGCTAGGCAGAGGGGGATGATCCCTCTATCTACTGGCTGTGCTCCTGTTCATGCTGTTGGCCTTCTCTGCTACCTGGGCACACAGGCTCATGTTGCTTGTGCCCACCAAGACCCCCAGGTCTCCTTCCTCAGAGCTGCTCCTCAGCCAGTCAGTCCCCAGCCTGTATCATTGCAGGGGTTTCTTCCTTGCTGGGCACAAGACTTTGCATTTCTCATGCTTGAATTTCTTAAGATTCCTATCAGCCCATTCCTCCAGCCTGTCTAGGTCCCTTTGAATAGCATCTTTGCCCTCAGGTGTTATCTACTGGTCCTCTCATCTTGAATGTTTTTTTCTTAAACTACCCATCCTTTCTTGAAATCACAGTAAAATGCCCTAGTCTAAAAATCACAGATTTCCTCATCCGCAGTGCGGAAATCCAGGAACACCACAGAACATTACAACTAGCAGTTAGATAAATTCAGGTACAGGAAATTAACTACAGGAATGACATATCCAGGAAGACTGTGGATTTTCATATCTGAAGTCTCCAAGTCAAGACTGCCTGTGACTTTAGAGAATATGCTCGGGCTCAAGCAGAAATTATGGATTTGAGGCTTCATGAGATGTCATGCTCAGTGTTATGGGAAGATGATCAAAAATAGTTATCATGGCCCCTTTTGGGCCTAAAAATGTGCGTGTTCACCTGAGTCAATATAAGAGCCAAGGAAAACTCCCAAGCGAAAAAAAAACTCCCAAGCTATTCAAGCCTTTGAATACTTGACTATAGTACCTCCAGGTAACATATTGATTCCTAAGATAGAAGATTTACAAGCTGCCAGTTGGAATGACACCTAATAGCCCTACGTTACTACCATATCATATGAGGATCAACTTTGGAAAAATTCCCAGTTCAAACAGTGTACCTTCCAGGAAGGCAAGTATCTTGCCAAAAGAAGAAATTTAACAAGTGGCTATTTCAGAAGATGAGGAGTCAGGACTTGCAAGAACATCCACCCATTTCCTGCACTCTGAGACCTGGACGTGCTGTGGTTGCTACTGTATTGGTCACCACACCTTCTGCCACTAGCGGCACACCTTCAGGCACTAGCAGGCGTACCTTGGCTCAAAAAATAGGGAGAACAAATGCACACCGCAGAAAGACTGTGCCAACCAAACCACTGTCAACACTATGCTACTGATAAATCCAGCTACAGACTTTGGTCTGGATAGCTTTGAAATCCTAGATTTGGAGGCTGGAACTGGGGGGAGAGGGGATTCCCCTGCAAGACAGCCCTTGTTCATGTTTTATAAAATCATGAAGCATAATTAGCCCAGCAGCACATCTTGCCTCTAGTCCAAAGCTACCTGCTGGTAATGGGAACTTTGCGCATGTATGTGCGGGTGCGCGTGGGCATATGTGTGTGTGTGTGTGTGTGTGTGTGTGTGTGTCTGAGGGGGAGAGAGAGAGAGACAGAGAGTGAGAACACGTGCAGGATTTGTGCTTAGAGGAAAATGGAGCACAGCCTTGAGCAGCAGCCCAGCAACGCTTCCTGTGGCCTAAACTCCTCCTTTTTACTCAGCTTGGGTTTTTGGAGACTGCTCCCTCCAAAAGGGAAGGACCTTTTGTCTCCCCATCCTTAGGAGATGTGATTGCCAGACATACCCTCAAGAGACACTGATTTTTTTAGCCTGGCTGCTGGGGGGGGGGAAAAAAAAAAACACATGCCCCTGAATGAAAGCACAACATAATGCTTAAGTCCATCACTACACTATTTGCTTAGCTATGCCTTTGTCACCTATGTTTTGGTCCCTGGAGGTTCACGTGTTTAGCACTACGTGCTGTGTAATGCACTGAGACGATGCCACGTGGTCTGGGGCTGGCAGTGGTACCTACCGGCAGCAGGTTATTATCAGCGCTATGCCCAGGATGAGCAGAAGTCCCCCTCCTGCAGCCGCAATCACCACAGTGATGAGTTGGTATGCTACGGACAGGAAAGACAGACAGTCTCACAGAGAAACAGCAATGTAATTGTAAATATTATCATAAGCTTAGCCACTATCGTTACGCAAAGGGCTTAGCTGTTTACTCCCCTTATTCCCTCCCTCTGCCAGTCATGCTTGCAAGTAAAATGGATGGAGTTGGGGATCTACTGTTGAAGGAAGAACAAGCTGCTGTTTCCCTAGGGGACAGATTCTCCTTACTGATAGATCAAAATAAAACAAACAACATTTCACTGATTCACCTCCAAATATCTCCCTTAAAGAGTGCCTGCTACTCTATGTGCTCTCACAACGGAGCACCCGGAGAAAGCAGATCTCCAAGAAAATACTGACCTTGTTAGGAGATAATGTTAAGTCAACTTTTTCAAAGGTCAACAAAACAATTTTCAACAGAAAATGAAGAAAATAAAACCACTGACAGGAGTAAGTCCGTATCTGCTACATTCTAGACGTAGTTATTTGTAATTGCTTCAAATTTCCCTTTTCTGAGGCAGTGGAAACGAAAGGAAAAGAAATGCAGTACTTACGGTTTCCACAGTTGAAGCCGCCTAAGCCGAATGGGCAGCTGATAACACAAACAACAGGGAGTTTCAGAGGTTTGGCTGTGGCAAGAGGTCACCAGAGTAACATTAAGAAGGATGCTGGGGGGAGGAGGAAGGCAGAAAGGTCACCGTACCTCACGCAGGTCTCATTTTCCAGCTTATATCCATCTTCGCAGGCTGAAAAAACAGAGAAGGGCCATGAGCACCGCGTAGTGGTGCACAGGAGGTATTTACCACGGCCGCTTCCCGCGTCAGCTTCGCCCCTAACAGCCTTTGGGACTGCGAAGCCTCTCTCTGACGCTGGCAGAGCAGAGTTGTGACGCTCACGTTGTCAAAAAGAGGGGCACACGCTCTTTGCTGTCTGTATATCCATAGGGTGACCCGTCTAATGTCATCTCCGCCTTGTCTGCTAGCGTAAATGCCTCCAGTTAGAGAGGACTCAGGGGGGTCTCAGCTGCCCCTTGCAATTGCTCTCTGTTTTGGACAAGACACTGTGCACTTAGACTCAGCTCCCACTAGCTTTGCTGGGACTACTTTAGGCTTTACCCATATCGCTAACCTGGAGCCTGGCATGGTGTAGGCAGCTGATAATTCCTAGGAGAATCCCTTCCTGCCCAAATGAAAACTCACTGAACATTTGTACTGTTTCCCGCAAAATATCAGTGTAAAAAACCCGCACGTGTTTTGGGTTTTCATTCTGAAACCTCATATAAACAACGTTAGTTTAACACTGATGCACATTATTCACTATTTTTAAATGTTAGAACTGCAATAAAACGTTATCCAAGCATAGCTGCGGTTAACCCAAAATGGTATGTTACATTTTCCCTCGTGGAAAGAGTCACCTGCTTCTTTATTTCTTTCAAATCTGCAGCTAAATCAAATTCTGAGATATCAAAATTTACTACGAAATAGAAAATTAAATTTTTGACTAGATCTAAATAACCCAGAAGCCACTATGTGCACACTATTGGTTAAAAAAACTGAAAACTAGTCACTGAAAACTAGTCAAAACTTCCAAAATACAATAACTGCTGTGCTTAACGGACAGATAGCTAACCATCTGGATTATCTGAGCAAATTACACTACACTTGTGATGAACAGCAAAGGGGATGATATATCAGATATAAAACTATAAGCCTCAGATTAGTGACAAGATCACTGCTTTTTTCTCAGCAATAGTCTTTCAGTGAGTTTTGAAAAGCAGTTATGTTATGTTTAGCCCTTTGGTCCTTCAAAGAAGCAAGATATGCAGAAATTCCACTAAAAAAATGACAATATCTCACTGGTTCATGGCAATATCTGAAGGTTCTTTTGCCCTGCGCAGAAAAGCACCAAAAAAAAGCAATTAGCTCCCAACCTGCTCGTCACTCATGCCTGGTGCCCCGCACGTCCATGCAAACACCCTGGAGCTGTTTGTAACACCCTGGGGGAAGAAACTCCCTTTGCGGCACTGGGACACGGGCTCTCTTATCCAGCCCAGCTCTCCTCGACCTGCCGCCTTTCACAGCGGTAGCTTGGAGTTTCGCCCTCGTCAGCAGGCTGACAAACGTCTCCAGCCAGGACTAACGAGCATAAAGGCTGGCCGTGAGAAATAATCAGGAGCCCTCCTCTGGGTCTATCCCTTGTCACGGGCTGACCAAACTGTTTAGCCGTATTCTTTAGCTGTACTACAGTCAACCCCATGGCGCAGCTGAGGTCTAGCACAGGACTTAAGTCTCAGAATGGATATGAAGGGAGAACAATTTTCTAAGAATAAGGACTGGGAAGTACAGGCAGCCGAAGGAGGCTGTGGGGTCTTCAAAGACAGCCTAGCAAAGACAGAGCTAGATAGGACGGACACGGACAGAGTCACTTTGGGCAAAGCGACAAGGCCAGTATATCCAGTGACCCACGGAGGTCTGCAAGACATTAGACAGGGGTCTGGGAGCAAAGCAAGTAAAACAAAACTCCCCAAACACCCTCCACACATGCGAGCAAAGGATAGAGGGAATAAAAATTGATTGTAAAGAAAAATAAAAATGCTCGTGGATTTTTTCCCCCCTCTCAAAGACCACAGGTGATTTTGGCTTTAAAATGACGGTCAAGAAGCAGTTGTCAAGCTCTCTTTCACCTGCCTTGTTCTCTAGCCATAGGGACAACTTCCAGCCTAAAGTGCAGGTGCTCTTTAACCCTGCTGAGTGCAGGGAAACCTGCTGGGAGGGGATCGGGGCTGTCCAGCAGAGGTCACAGCTAACCCGCAGCAAAGCTCTCCTCTCCTCTCACGGCCTCTGCGTACTGCTCCCAACACACGAAATGCATTTCCCTCTCTCGCACAACTGGAGCGTGTATTTTTGGAGGCCTGTCTAGGGACACTTAGCATAGGAAGGAAGGAAGGAAGGACGGACGAATGAACATGTAACACTACCCATTACGATGGGCTGGCAAGATCGTAACAAACCAGGAGAGACCACTAGTTTTCCTGTTGGATTTAGAAGTTTGCGGCTGTTATAGCACCAATATTAAGTGATACTGAAGGCCAGCAGGGATCAATGTGACTTTGACCTCCCTGTCAAAACACAGGTCACAGAACTTCCCTAAATTAATTCCAGTTTCAAATCAAATAGCTGAACTGGAACTATATTTTAAGAGAACCATCCAAGCTGGATTTTAGTATTTCCAGTGATGGACAGTCAACTGCAACCCTGGGTCAGACGCTCAAAAAGTTAATTTTCCCTGCCATTAAAAACATTCACCTTATTTCTGGTCTGAATTATCTTAGTGTCAAATTCCAGCCCTTTGAATGTTTTCTTGCTGGATTGGAAAAGGTTAGATGATCACATTTCTCTTCTTCACTGTCAAATCACTCCTTAGCCTTCTTGTTAAAAAAGCCAAGTACACTGAGATCCTTGAGACTCCCTGGTTATTGCATGTTTTTGCTGAACGCTCACCAGTTCTCTTTGACCTTTTTGACTTCTGGTTCTCGGAAACAGATGCCACAAGCACAGGGGTAACAAAACTTCCCCTCTTCTGCCTGCACATGCCCCCTTAATGCATCCAAGGAGCACATTAGCCTTCTGAGCGGGAGCTCGGAGACCTTTCCTTTAGCTGCCAGGCCCCTTTAAGCTCTGTCCGGGTCCCTGCTTTCCAGGAGATGCTCTTTGCATGGCCTCTTTGCTACACCTCTTTATGATATTTTTTGCACTGGATTTATTTTTAACTTTCTAATATGATTTCTGTAAAGGTGAGAAAGAGACCAGAGGTAACAGGACAAGAGTTAAAAGTCTCAGGCAACACACAGCCAGGGCAAGAGGTAGCAAATACCAAAGGATACTTGCCTGGCTCATTCATTACACCAAGGCATCAGCGAAGGCACAAGGATCGGATGGGTTGCTCATGTCACTCACTAATAAAAGTAGACTGAAAACATTATGGAGCACATCTACCACATTTACTCACAGGATCAGACAACAAAGAAATCTTCAGAGAGGGGAAGGCAGGAATCACCTCCCTCCACAGCTCACTGGAGTTGTCTTTGCCATGAAGACAGCTCCAGTCTATGGAGTACAGCAGCCCTGATCACCCCAGCCCAGCCTGCTGGTTGCCACGTGAGGAAGGATGGGAGGGACCTATAAGCAGATGCTGGAGCCCAGCCTCAGTTCACCACTTCCACCTGTGTAGGGCACGTACACCTTGAGCAGTCTCTCCAAATTGCGACTCTGTCTTGGGTAGGAAATTTCCCAGCTCTGGCTGGCTAGGAGCTCTACGGGCTGTAAAGAGGGCAAGCAGGATCCTGAATGTGCATCTGCAGGTCTTATTTCACTTAAAGCAATGCAGCACTGCATAACTCTTGGTGCTTATTTCTTTTTCTCTCCTCACCCCCCTTCTCCTGCCATTTTGCTTTCCCCTCTGGCATCTTTCCTGCTCCTTTGAACATCCTCCCAGGGGAGCTCACGCTGTCACATTCACTTGGCAAGCTCTCAAAGACGAACAAGGAACAGAAGAAAGGTTTAAGTAGCAGGGGCCAAGCAAAGCTATCAGGTTTTGCTTTTCTACTCGGGATTCCTTTACCACCATCTTCCAGAAGGAGATTCAGAGGTCTCTTTGGAAACCTTCCTGATGAGAGGAAAGCTGGAGAGCTGTTCCTTGCTTTGCACTGGAAACGCTCTGGACTGTTAAAAATAACATGTGATGGGGCATCTTCTACCAGGAAGGTTGAAACCCAGCAGTTACACGGAGCCAACCGAACTGCACTCCGAGCGGTGCCTCGGCCAACATGTCAAAACTCCCTCTGGCTCAGACGCCAAACCTTTCCTTGCTCCTCAGACTGGGCTTTGAGCATGCCCCAGGTGAGAGACACTAAGGCTGCAGGCAGGAGAGAACAAAACCTGGAGGGCTGGGCTGCCGACCCCCTCATCCCGTCAGCTCCCCGAGCCGCACCCAGCTTCCCATTCGGGAGACCGGACGGGGCCGCACAATAGCTGCTTCCCTCCTCGCGAACGCTATAAATGGTGTTACTGCTCCCGAGCGTTCAGTGGGCTGCGGACCACGTTTGCACAACCCACAATCAGGGTCAGGCGCTCAGGAGACCTCGGTTCCTGTTTAGTCACTGGGAGGGTGGAAGTTTTAAAAGAACCTGGTATATTGTATGCTATATTTATCAGAGTGGATGAACCTAAATATCAAGCTGGGGGCTGCAGTATGGCTTTTGATGGGAGTGTTGACTCCCTTCAAAAATCTAGATCACCCAGTGTACCGAGATGAGAACAGAGCGCTGCTGAAAACCTGGTCTCTTGAGAGAGCATGGCACCAGGCACTTAGTCCTTGTGCCGCTGTGCTGCGTCCCCTATGACCAACAAAACCCCAGGTTCCTTTGGCCTAAATCTACTTCAGCTCTGATAGTGTAAAGCTGGTCATTAAGATGTCTCCTACTGACAGCACAGACCTGAAGGTGGAGTTTAGGCCTGACGGTGTTCTGGTGGTTTCTTTAGTCTGCAGAGCCAGCAAGACCCATAAATAGGGAGTCATCACATCTACTTGGCTACGAAACGCTACATCTCTTGGCTCTCTATAAACATCGTATCTGAGTGCTGCATGGCCTTTCAGGTATTTATCTTTGTACTATCACTCAGCAAGAGACACGGACAAGAAAAATGGAGTAACTTGCCCCGGGGCCCCACTGCCAGAGGTGGAGCAGGAATTGGGCAAGGGCATCCCAGGAGCCATCTCAGCTCCCTACTTGCTGGATGGCCCCTTCTCGACCTCTCAAAGGTAGGTGGAAACAGTCAGTATTTCTTATTAAAAGTCCTTTCCACAACGTATAGAGATGAAACTAGGGAGGAAAACCATAAAGGAGAAACGTTTTGCCTCAAGCCACACAGCAGACAAGAGGCAGGAGCAGAGTGCAGGACCCAGAGGTGCCCGTTTCACAGATGCCTGTTCCAGAGCTTGCAATGCATGAGTTATTTCCAGTCACATTTCTCCCACTCTCTGACTATATTTGAAGCCGACCAAGCGTTTCCTATTTGAACAGCCTACCCTGCAGACGCTGCCAGAAACAATATGTAACCACTTTTAAAACTGTTACTGATATGTCATCAGAAAACTTGATTTCTTAAGGACCCCCACAGCAATGACCGAGGGAATGGACACGCTGATCCTACAAAAGTCATTTTGACCACTGGCGCAGTGACAAAGAGCCTGTTTAAGATGTAGCAAAACAGATTTCACGATCTGAGTAGTTAAAAAATAATATAACCCTTGAGCTTAAAATTTCTGTTAGGAACCCAGTTGAAAAATAAATCCACAGTCATTCTCAGATACTTGCTTATTTAAAAAATATTGATGATGCATTAATATAGCTTGCGAGTTTAAAGCAATTATCTTAAGTTCGCTGAGAGTTCAGACAAAATCAAAACAGGCAGAGCTGCACGTCATCTCTGCTCCGTGCCACTGAACTGGAGCCCAGAGCGTTCGGGCCCCCTTTCTCCCGTTTCTCGATCATTCTGACTCACAGCGTGCTCCAGAAAGAGATAATATTATTCCTAGAGAGAGACTTATCTTCGGCATCTACTGAAAAGTCCCCTAACTAAAGAAAAGAAACCTCAGCTGCTAATATTTATTCATAATATTGAGCTTCTTAGGACACACGGCAATACATAATGCACGCCGACACACACACTCACGTAGTCATTTCAATTGGCACCGAAAGATTAAGCAGAATCCAGGCACAATATATCACGTAAAGAACAATACCTCTGCAGGAATGGTCCATCTTGTTGTATTTGAAATAACCACTTTTGCACTGGCAGAGCGCAACGCCATCGAAGTCGGTGCATTCGGAGGTTTCCTTGTCACATTCGGGGTCTTTCTGTTTGCACAAGCTGCCAACTAGCAGAAAGACACAGACAACATCAGCGCGTTTCTCCCTAAACACGCCATTAGGCACGTTTGCTTTCCCCAGGCATCACATTCAGGTCATGCATTGCTTTCATCTTCTTTTTCTTAATAATATTGGTTCCATTACGAGATAGTCGACACTACCGCACGTCACAATTTCTCACGCATCTACCATCGTTCGTACAGGCAAACAGAGTAGGTGAATAATAAATACTTTAGCTTGCAGGCAGAATGGGAAATTAAAAAGAAAAATTTGTTTTGACTCAAGCTAAAACACATTTCCCCCGAGACGGTTGAACAAATCAAGTTTTACTTTTAAGTTTATGTCAAGCAAAACATTCTGCTCAGCCCCAAACAGATTCTTCCATTTTGTTTTTAAGCATGGTATTTTTTCACTTTTAGCACAAAGAAATCGCCCTTTCATTTATCTAACCTTGAAGCAATGTCTTTACTGTAAAAAGTCAGTTTTTTTAAAATGAGCATTCAGCAAAACTCAGTGTGCATAAATTATGGAAACTGTGTCATCAAATTTGCATTTTTCACTGGGAAGCTGGACTAAATGGGATGAGCAAATGAAAAAATATTCATACTATTTTTAAGAAAAATGTGTCATCCACGCGGAACTCAAAACTTTTATAAACTCATCTCCGACAGATTCTCCATCCCTTTTTTTAATCCGACATCTTCTCTTTAAACACTTACGTAAGAAGAGAATTTGTTTCTTAGTAATTCTGTTTATCGTTATGTTAGAAACTAAACTCTACCAAAGATAAGGTAAGTGAGGTAACTGCTGCGTATAATTTGAGCTGTTCTACCAAAATCCTTTAAATCAATTTGATCCACAACAGTGCAGCGCGGCTTTAAAATCTCTCATGTTAAAAGAAAAAAAAACATCGCGTGCAGTATATTTATCCTTTTTATGTTCAGGATTAGGCATAGAAACGTTTCGCGGCCTGAAAACACTTAACTGTGAACGATTTTTCCACCCCGCGCGTTCACCGACGCAAACCGGCAGCCGGGAAACGGCAGCTCCGGGCGAGCGGCAGGGCAGCGCCGCTCCGCTCGGGGAGCGGATTTCACCCGCAACGCGGCTAGGACGAGACCTGAAATCTGCGTTCGCTTTTATACCGCGGGGTTATTGTGACGACTCCCATTCAAACGGGATCGAAGTTTCCAAAGGTTTTTTTTTTTTTTTCCCCTCTCCTTGAAGGTCAAAAACCTTTCTCCTCCTTGCAAAAAAAAGGAGCCAACTATAACGTCCCTGGCTTTCTGCTCCCGCCACAACCAATCCGGACGCTATTCACCTCTGTGGAGCGCTTTCAGGCTGGCGATGAACTGGCAGGTCTCCGGGGGGGACGCGCACGCTCGGACGTAGCTCTTCACGCTGCTGACGACGTCGTAGAACGTCACGTTGGAGGCTAAAGAGAAGGTGGATCGCACCGAAACGTGGACAACGTGGGCCTCCCTAGCGGGAAACAAACCCAAGCAGCTCTGAGCGCCACCGCTCGGTCCGATTCCCTTGCTGCTATCGATACGCAGGACTCACTAGCGCAAGCGATGCGCAACGCGCACCCGCAGCGAAAAAGCGGTGCGCTCTACTGAAC